TGCCCTTTGTCCACTGTTCCCTGTCGTCTGTCGCCATGGCTTCCTTCTTGAACGCTTTCCACGACATGGAGGAAGATCTTGCAGTCGACGAGGCTTGCAAGGCGGCAGATGCGGAGGTGAAGGTGGAGAAGCTCGTGCAGATGGCTCCAGTGGGCACTGGCGGAGGGAGCAGCCAGCCGGCAGAGTTTTCTGAGTCAGGTGGCAGCAGCCCGCCTGGCCACACACAGGAGTCGCCAAAACCGACGACTTCGCATGCACTCAACATTCGCAACGCTATGAAGCCTAAAGGTGCACACACAGCTCCTGAGAAGAAGCGTGGCCCTGACTCCCAGAAGAGGGCACCAAGAGGCAGCAAAGACACGTTCGCAGGACGTCGTCCCCCGATTAGCGTAGCGAAGCTCGAGCTCTACAACGAGATGAAAGCGGACTACCATCGCATCCGGAAGGCTCTTTCCGAGCAGGGCACAAAGAAAGGCAAGAAGAAGGTGACTTTGTCCCAGGAGTCCTACTGGCGACACATGCAGAAGGCCATGGGTGACGTCGAGGGCTCAGCCATGGAGCGTTTCACTCAAGCTTCACAGTCTTTTTGCAAAAGCATCATGGACTGAGTGTTTATCATTTTTATGGGGTTTGCGTGCCTTGTGCAGCGTGATGAGTGATGCCTGCCGTTGGTGTCACTGTCAGCTGTCCACTGTGCACTGTCCGGGTTATTGCAGTCAGTCCTGGCAGTGCTCATGATCATTGCCAGTGCGGCTGCAGGCTTGAGGGGTGTGTCAAGCTGCGCTAAAATGATCCTTTCTCAGGTGCCTGTGAGTGAAAGTGTTAGCCAGCTATCAAGTGCTTTTGTCTTCAGCCAACCTCATGAGTTTCGCAGTCTTGGGGTTCTTCCAGCCTGCATTTAGTGCTGCAAGCCTTGCCATGGCAGTCCCCGCCGCTTTGGTCAACATGCAAGTGTTCGGCATCAGTTTGGGTATGGCTCTTCGGTCTTCACTGTCCACTGTCGCTCGTCCACTGTCTGTTGTGGAGCTGTGGTGCGGCGTGGCGTCCGTTGCAATGGCTGCCGAGAGGGCTGGCTATCGACAGCTCGCCATGGACAAGGACCGGATCCAGGGAGTGACCGATGATGACGCGTCGGATGACACAGAGAACATCTTGACCAAACGTGGCTTTCAGAATGCGTTGAAGGCGGTCTTGCAGATCTGCGAAGGTGGCCTGCTGTGGATGGCGCCCGTCTGCAGCAGCTTTGTGTTCATGAACTCTGTGAAATGCCAACGTACTGTCAACCGCCCAGCAGGTAACACTGCGTACCCGCCTGTGAAGGAAGGCAATCGCATGGCCAGCATTGCAGCTTTTCTGTATGCCCTCGCAATGTTGCGTGGGGTCCACCCTGTCATTGAACAGCCAGCGGGCAGCATCATGTTCAGGTACAAGCCCCTCGCCAAGGTCCTCAGCGTTTTCCACCATTGTTCCGCCACCTGTGCCAGGTGCCATTTCCAGGTGGATGCTCCCGAAGGCGAGAGGTTCCTGAAACGCTACAAGTTTGTTGGTGAGACATGGGTGAAGAGTTTGCAGCAGAACTGCACATGCCGTGACGGGATTCATAAATCCATGGTCAAGGAAGATGAGCATGGAGGAAGGACTGGCGATCGGAAGCTTCTGAAGGAGAGCCAGTCCTACCCCCGGAAGCTGGGAAATTGGATTGTGCACAACTGGCTGGAGCAGCACAGGCTCATGCCATGCTTCCAAGAGTCCACTGTCCCACTGTCGCCTGTCCCTGTGCAGAAGCACACCAGCACGAAGTCAGTGTGGAAGCGGCCAAGTTCAACTTCCAGTTCCGATCCTGATGCCAAGAGGCAGAAGGCAGCTGGGGCACAGTGGAAGCGGCCAAGTGCACCTGCCAGTTCGGCCCCTTGCAGCAGCTGGAAGCGCTGCTTGTGAGATTTGCTCGCTGGAAGCTGCTCCTGACAAATTAGAGGCATGAGCCGAAGGTTTGCGGGTGGGTTAAAACAGTGCTCAGCACCTGCGTGTGCAGGTCCTTGAAGGGGGTGCTGCTGCTGGTGCTGCTGCTGCTGCTCCTGCTATTGATTGCTTGTTTGTATTGTGAATTGCCATGATGATGCTTGTTAGCACAGACAATAGTAGTAATTAGTAGTTGCACTGCCAGAACTGCACATGAACTTTTGTTGTTGGCTGCCACGGAGGCTGTCGCTGTAAATTTTGGCTCCAGAACTGAGTCCACTGTCCATTGTCGACTGTCGACACTGCCATGGACGTCCACTGTCCATTGTCGACTGTCGTCGCCGCCATGGACGAAGCCCCTACTGAAATCCTCTCGCCGGCATCGGAGAGCGACTCCGAGGTCGAGGATGTTCAAAGGGAGCTCGAGAACCTGGAGCTCATGTCCGTTTCCGCCGAGGGCGAGACTGAGACCGCTTCTGCTGAAGACTTGGCGAAGGAATTGAGTGTGCTGCTTGATCAAGAGCTGGGAGAAGTTCGCATATCAGTGCAACTGATGCAGATGACGGAAATATGTGTGTGGTGCGGGATGGTCTATTTCGAGCAGTACCTTAATGGCTATGAGCGCTGCCGCCTGGACTCATGTTTTCCTGAGCAGTATCACTGCTCGTGCAGCGGTTGAACCGCTTGTGTGCGATGTCCATGGATCACACGCCGTAATTGCCCTACTACCCATGGATCACACGCCGTATAATTGCCCTACTACAACACTGTCCATTGTTCACTGTCACCTGTCCACTGAGACGAGTGACGGTGACAAAGCATCCATGAGACTGGCAAGTTTCCAGTTTTGCCAGACGGCAGGAAATTAACAGTTGGCACCAGCAACTTGCCGCAAGAGCCGGGGTTTTCAACATGCTCTTTGCGTCTGAGAAAAATGACCTGGGCAAGCCTGCTATTTCGCCATCATACCACAGTGGACAGTGCACAGTGAACAGTACAGTGGGTGTGGGTGAGGGCAAATAGGTGGGGAAAGGCGAATTTACCGATGGAGGCGTCGGTTAATTCGCCACTCGTTTAAGTGTGGGGGAGGGATTCCGGGCCTAGGGGGTGTAAGGCTAAGCTAGTTTGTGGACCACTGCGAGTGACAGTGTTGGCCTGCAGGTGCTGGGGTCCTACCTCAACGAGCTCAGACTCTGTCCACTGTCCACTGTTGCCAGCAGCAGCAGTCGCGCGCGCTGTGCGCATATATCGTGTGTGCGCGCGCAGTGCGCGCGCTATGCGCGCAGAAGCTGCACGGGCTGCTGTGAAAAAGTGCACGCGCTGTGCGCGCGCGGTGCGCGCGCTGTGCGCGCGCTATGCGCGCGCTATGCACGCGCTGTGCGCGCGCAGTGCGCGCGCAGTGCTGTGTGTGCATGCACGCTGTCACGTGTGTGCACGCTGATGTTGTAGTAATACTACATTACTACATGTTCTACTTTCACATAAAGCAGTTGCTTTTCTGTTAATGTTTGCATTTGGGGCCTCTGGACAGAACATATGACAAGTTTCTGGAGCATGCAGTGTTCTGTGCTCAAGCTTTAGAGAGAGAATGTGGCATCAGCATCATGTTCTTCATAATCATGAACAATGTAGTGCAGAGTCTGCAAATTCAGGGCAGTAGCATTGCAGAACGGACAGCACTAGTTCATCCAACGTGCAGTGTCCACTCACTGTCCACTGATATTGTTGAGCAGCAGCATTGCGGAACGGACAACGACAACACTAGTCCATTGTCCACTGTCCATTGTCCACTGTTTGTGGAGAATGGGCCGGAAGGTCAATAGAAAGTCCAAGAACCTAAAAAACAAGCCCAAGATTGCCAAAATACCCGCCAGCAATCGGAGTGGCAGATCTGGTAAGTCGGGATGGGCACAATGGATGAAGAACAAGGCTGAAAATGCCAAAGAGCAAGAAGCAGAATCGCGAGACCGGCCAGAATCAGAAGAAGACTCGCCTTTTTGTCATCTGGACGTGGAGGCTACAGATGATGTTGATGCATGTTCAACTCGAACGGTGAGCACACAAACGCCACGTTGGATTCGCCGTGTTCAGCCGGCGAAAGATGAGAAGGACTCGTGCTGTTTTTTCTCAATTGTGTTGATCAGCCCTGGTGCTTGCAGGACCTGAAGAGAAAAGGACGAACCAGCATGATGCATCACAGTCTGTGCCCGAGTGATGCTTTCAACAATGTGTTCCCATGCAATGTTGCGAGCCAGGTCGGGCTCTCGATGGCTTTGGCACCAATGAACTACTGGACTGCGGCCGGATGCTGTTTTGCCACTGACTACTACACTACTACCACTACTACCACAACTACTGGTTTGCAAGCTGCGTGGATTGCACGCAGGCAACGTTGTTCTCTTCCGCCCCGTGAAGAAGAAGCTGGCAGAGCAGAACTGAGAGAAAAAAAGCGCCATTGTTTTGATTGCAACTGAGTATAGCTGCATCTTGGGTGGGGTCTTCCCTGTGCACAGGAGTAGTAATAGTAGTAGTAGCAGTAGTAGTAGTAGTAGTAGTAGTAGTAGCAGCAGCAGTAGCAGCAGTAGTAGTAGTAGTAGTAGCGGTAGCAGTAGTAGCAGCAGTAGTAGGAGTAGTAGGAGGAGGAGTAGTAGTGGTAGTGGAAGTAGTAGTAGTAGTAGTAGTAGTAGTTGTAGTAGTAGCGGTAGTCGTGGTGGTAGACGTAGAACAATGGACGGTGGACAGTGTCGTGTATATTCCCTCTGGCAACAATATATTCACGACATCATTTTTGAGCTTGCCCTGCCCCACCCCCATTCCAATTTGCAATCTGTTTTCCGGCTGCTTGCTGCTCCTGCTTTTGCTGCTGTTGCTGTCCACTGTTCACTGTTCATGGTCTTCAATGCTCACTTTAAATCCTGCTTTCAAAGCCCCTTTAAGGCTCCCAAAACGAAAAGGTCAGAAGGTTAGATACCAACGAACGGAAGGTCAGTTGCTTTGAACAGGGATTCTTCGGCATCGTCAAGCAGCAGTTTGTATAGTGCTCACACGTGGCACCCGACAGTCCAGCAGCGGTGCCACGCCTGGCGGTCCGCAGAGCTTGAGCGACGGCGGCGTCGGTGAGCACGGGCGGCGAGGCGGGCTGAAAGTTGAGGATGTCCGCAGGCACGGGTTGCAGGGCCGCCCGGCGGGCGCCGCGCCGGGTCGGACAAGGCGGCGAAAGTGTCGTCCGTGCCCGGCACGATGGCTGCGCCTCGCGCTCGGGAGACTTCGCCCCTCCACACGTTGGCACAGGCAAGTTCCCGGCGCCGGGCACGTGCAGCCTCCTCCCCGGCAGCATCGGGGACCGCGGCTGTGCGGTTGGTGCGTGGCACGCCTGCTGCTGCTCGCGCTGCCCCCAACAAGGCGTCCCATCGTCCAGCGAGGAAGTCCCGCGTGCGCTGCAGAAGGGCTTCGCGTCCGACCGTGCCCGGTTCGCGAGCGCGGTGGAGCAGCAACCGCGGAGAAAGCAGGAACAGTTTCCAAGCGCGGGTCTGCGGGGGGGCCGCGCCACGCCTGTACGCTTCTCGTAGAGGTCGCAAGGCGAAGACGAACGCTTGTCGCACGCCCGCTCGCAGGAACGCCGGCACACTCTGCATGGTAGGCACGGGCGTGCCGAACTCGGCAGCGAGGTCGACAGCATCGAGGCTGGACCACGCAAGAGCCGGGATGCCAGCAAGGGCGGAGCGGCCTGCGCCTCCCTGCGAAGCTCCGGCAGGGTCGTTGTCGTCGGTGGGAAGGCCCCGGGGCACTGCGTCGATGCAGTCGTCAGCTGCTTGGGCCCCTTGCTCGCCTGTCAATGCAACCCGGGGTCGCGGGGTGCCAGCACTTGGCGTTGAGGTTGCGGGCATGGCCTGCGGCACAGGCGCTTCTGCGTGCGTATAGGATGGGCAGGCAGCTCAGGTGGGGCGCTGGGCAGGGGCATAGGGTTCGGTAGCGCGCCAGGCTGCCGGAGCGCGTGGATATCCCTTTCCTTTCCAACGAGGAAGCGCCGTGTTGGCCCAGCAACAGGGTGAGCAGGTGTTCTTGTGGCCCTCCGCAGGCACCGCGAGGACGCGCAGCATGACGCTGAGTGACTCGGCACCAGAGGCGCGAGACGCCGCCCACGCCGCCAGGCGCTGGTATGGGGCTGACTGGCTGAGGTCGTCCCCGCGGGCTTGTGCGACGAGCGCGATGGCGGCGATTGTGTCGTGCACGGGGAGAAATGGGCGGGCTGACGCTGCCTCGACCTGGCATCGCCACCAGGCTCCAATGGAAGCCTCGGCGGTCCATGCGGCTCGCGTCTCAGGCGAAACCATGCCAGCTGCGTGGAGCAGCAAAGGCACGTAAAAGCGCGAGTTAGTATGCTGGGTGAAGGGCAGCGACGGGGGAGGCACTTGGGCCAGGTCGGTGGCGGCTGCGTGCGCGGGCGGGGGGGCGGGTGGCGGCGCCGGCACTGGAGTGGGAGTGGTAGTTGGCTGGGCAGTATCGTGGAGCGTCAGCGCCCGCGGCGGTCCTGCAGCGGTGCATCGATTGCACACCCACCGTTCGCTGCGTTGGTTCATGTCCACCTCCCACAGCATGGGTACGTTGCACCGCATGCAGGCGGGGGCCGGGCCTGGCACCCGAACACGCTCCCATGCCAGCTCGTTGGAGCAACGCGTGCAGAGCCACACTGCTGTCGACTTGCGATGCCGCTGGGCCCTCGGTGCGCCACGGGCGCCCAGTGCATACGACTGCCAGGCAACTCGACGAACCCCATTGCAGGCCCAGCCAGACGGCGGCAGCAGACCGCGCGCACGTGAGCGGGTTCCGAGTGCTGCGCGGCGGAGCCCTGGCAGGGGCAGGCTCCAGGGCGATCCCGAGCTCTTGACAACGTGCAGCGATGCTAGGTTCGCGAGGCAGATGGTGTATCGCTGCACGGCAGTTGGGGCACCTTCCATGCAAGCGGGCGGCCTGCACCATACAGCCGAAGTGGGTGAAGGCGCCGCAGCACGGGTACGTGGTCTCGTGCACATCGGGTTCGACGGCAGGGGGTTCCAGGCACACAGGGCATGCTGCAAGGGCAGGTGCGTGCACCAACGTTTCGTGAACTGGCCGTGTTCTCAAGTAGTTGTGGAATGGGGCAATTGTACGGGTTACCTGGTGCCTGGGCAGTCCCTTCGACTGAAAGTCATGTGCCTGGGGCTGAGCTTTGAAATGTTGAATTTGCTTTCGATATTTCATCATGCCAGGACATGTTGATTGTTTTTCAATGTTGTATTTTGCAGTAATTATTTTGCTCATGCACAGGTCATGGATGAGCTGGCTATGCAATGGCATGCGAGCAAGTCGGGCAGGTTTTCGATGGGTTACCCATTGGTCCACCAGGCGAATATTCGAGATTGCGCAGTTTCCACATGCAAAGTTGTCGCAGCATGAGCTGTCAGGCCACCCGTTCTTGCTGACCCTGTCGTTGGATATTGTAGGCGCCGTAGCAGCATATGCGTTGCGCAACTACTTGATTGTTGCGTTCTTGGCATCATGCTTTCCCAGAGGCTCAGAGCCACAGAGCTGCTTGAAAGTCCATGGCTTGACTCCACGACCGGGAGGGTCAGGCTTGGTGGCTTTGCACCTGTTTCGGACAAACCAAAAGCAGAGTAGCCAGATGAAAGAGCTGGAACGGAAACCCAGTTGATTGTCCAACAGTTGAGGTGTAGCTGCTGCACGTTCGTAATTTTTTTCCGTGTGCCCGCCGTCGAATTTTGCACGTGCCGCTCAGATCACTGGGATCAGAGACAAAGATATGTGCTGCATGCAGCCTGGAGAAAAGCTTTGGCAGGTTATTCCGACGCAGGCCGACCAATGCAATTGCAGGCGCCGGCATCCCACCTGTTCGGGGAATCATAGCGTGGCTGAAGCATCGTATTTTGTATGTTGCGCTCTCCCTCTCTCCCTCTCCATCTCTTCTAGGTGATACATGTTGAGTTAGCTTTTTCCATTTTGGTATGCATGTTTCCATATCCCTTTGTCTGGTTTGCTGCACCTGGAGGGAAGTGGAGGAAGGAGATTCAGAGAGTGAGAAGAGCAGAGAGAGAGAGGGTCAGAGCCCGGACGCTGCTCTGCCGGTAGAGAGAGAGAGAGAGAGAGAGAGTTGAACAGAAACACGACTAAGTAGGCAAGAGGAGAGGGTAAGGGAGATCCAGAGATGCACAGGCGAGATTTGAGGCAAAGACGCAGGGAAAGATTGGGCCCTAGAAGGGCAAGGTGTGCCCCTCCTCCTTCCCGGTGTCCTTCGCCAGCTGCGTCAGGCCGATGGCTGCAACTGTGTCATGGGGTGTGTGCATGTGTATTTTTGAGGGACGCCTGAACTCGAGGGTTTGCATTCCGATGGAGCCTCGCAGCTTTTCCGAATTGTCATGCAACCATTTTGTGTTCCTGTTGCTTTTACAACACTTATCTTACTTGCCTGAGTGCTTCAAATGCATGTCTGTAGCCAGCTCAGTAAGGTTTAGCAAACACTGCAACTCGAGAGACCAACCGCCAAGGCTGTCAGTTCTCAGCATGAATCGTCGCGGCACCGCGCGCGCATCCGACTCCCACTAGGCGTGAAGGAGAGAACCTCACGAAAACCGTAGGATAACTTACCTCGCATTGTGCCATCCATCAAGCATCAATCCATCCCATGCTGCGCGAAAACCACGACCGCCGTGGGAACGCCTCGCGTCGCGCCATCTGTTTGAACATCATCCTACAGAACCCACCTCCACGAAAAACAATCCTTCGCAACGCTTTCGGCAAAATGCAGGGCTGGATTGAGATGAAGACGATGCGGATGGGAGATACAAGCCAGGACGAGGGCCAACTGATGCGGAACAGGTACAACCGCGGCGGAGGAGCCTGGGAAAACCGACTGGAAGCCGCAGCAGAATAAACCGAGACATCACATAGCCTTTGGGCATCGAAACACTTGACGGCCCGCGAGACGTGCCAGATGTTCGGAGCGACCAGTGGTGCCATCGACCAAGCCGAAACAGCAGGCACATTGGATAAGACTGAAACGTGAAAGATCGCAAGCAAATGGCAGCCAAACGCTTTCTAGTTGGAGTATGTTGGAGTTATTGGAGGTGCGAAGGCAAGGTGTGGCTGGAGCAGTTCAACAGTTTCCGCAGGCAGGTCGTTATGTTGTAACATGCAGCAGCCGGTTTTAAGGGTCCTAAACTGTCAGGGGAGGGGGATGTGGTGAATGCGAACCGCTTTGCCGCGGCATCCCTACATCTTTCGCTTGCAGGGCAACAAGGCCACCAGTCCGTGGGCATCCCGGACGTGGTCCGGGGACACAGCTTCCGAAGAGTCTTAGTGGTCTTGGGTGGCTGCACTTTTCTGGTCCAGCTGCAGGCACAGCAGCATGCAATCTGCAGCGAGAGCCACGGGCACCACCAGGTCCCTTGGCAGCGTGTTATTGAGGCATACTGAGGCTGGAGTTCTGTATCATGCCAGCAGGACTTCTAGGCCACGCAGTACCCCGGCACGTGGTTGTCCTTCAAGCGACCTCCTTCACGATTGTCCTTCTGCGTTCATGGAAAAGTTATTTTGGAATATCGCCGTTATTCTGCAAGAAGCCTCGCTCAACTGCTCTCTGGACAGCTTGCACAGAGACGCCCTGGCTCAGCTCATTGCAGGCATGAAGGCAGAACAGCTCCCTTCAGATCCTTCCGAGTGCAGCACCCCTTTTCCGTGGCAGATTGCTGCCGTGTACTCTGACATTGCTAGCCAGCTTGAGTTGGTGAATCCCCATGTTCCGGGCGATCCGGAAGGGGCACGAGCTGCAGCTAGCGTATTGCGTGCAGTTTACCAGGCCCTTCTCACGGCGGCGTCATTCCTGACACACAGCATGGTTTCGGAGAACTTGTATCTGCAATGCTCGCTCGATGGATTCTATGGCTCAACTGCTACACGTTTGGTTCATCTAGCTCGAGGAGCAGCAGCGAGTGATCAGCGGAGCCGAACCCTTGGGTTTCACACGCAAGTAAAACCATCGGATTGGGCACTTGGCGCTGCAGCAGCTATCAATTCGGTTTGTCGGTCTCGTAGAACACAAGCACCATCGCTTGTCAGTCACCGGCAGTGTTCTAAAAGCAGCCTCCAGTATTCAAACTCAGCTAGTGGTGGCAGTGCTGGCATTGGGACTGGCCGAACGTTCTTCAGCGCAAATGTCACTTTACAGGAGTTTCAGACGACCGACATCGCTTCTCGCCCGCCTTCGCACTCAAGTGACCTGCAAGAGCCAATGATTGCGGGTCGAGCGAATCTCTGCGCACACCTGCGAAGCATTCTGGTACAGGCTACTTTGGATGGGCGCTTGCAAGAAGAGCTGGGCCGCGTGGATACGGACTTCCGACCTATTGACGAAGAGTCGAATAAACCGAATGGCATTTCAAAGTCGGCGCTACCAGTAGGTAGCTTCTCCAGCACAGGCACAGTCTCGCAACTCTACGGGCATGCAGACCAAGCGCACGGAGGCTCAGCGATGTCTTTGCGTGCGGACTCGGGCATGCGAAACGAAGACCGTGTGCCATCGAGTCCTTCAAGCGCAGCCGTGCAGCGGTCTTCCACGCACGAGGCGAGAAGTGCCGCATCGACAGAGAAGCAAGTCTCAAATCATCTTCTTGAGCTCGGTGATTTATGCGATGACACAGCGTGTGCTGCTGTACCTGTGGATCATCTGGAGCACGCCAACGTTTCCGAACTTTGTAATGCGCAAGACAGCCGGACCCCTGCCTGGTCCCAGCGACAGGCATCGCCGCCTGCAGCCCAGCCCACGTCGCAGAAGCTGCGGCCATGGGAAGCCAATTCCTCGCACAGGGCTGATGCTCTTATACGGCACTTGGGCGAGGTCAGTCGAGGACAGGGTACGGCTGGAGTCGAAAGATGCCTGTATGCCGACGGCGTGTTGCCTTTGTCGAAGGAGTCGTCACCGAATGAAAGAAGTGTGCGAATGCTTGCGGAAGAGATGACGAAGGAACGGCCTTCAGCTGGGCAGACCAGCTCAAGCCGAGCTTACAAGGCTACGGCTACGACTTCTTCGTTGCTATCGCTTGCACGTGCGGGGCGACAAGATGCCCTGCAGCGGAAACAAGCACCTCAGACGGCAAAAGATCAGCAAAACGCTCGCGAACGGCAAGCAGGGCCTGACCAAGCAGAGAAAAGACCTTCGCCGCCGGAAGCCTCCGTCAAGCTGCCTCAAGTTCAGTGCAGAGGCTCCCAGAAGCCCAATCCGAGCCTTGCTGCAGGAATCTATGCTCAGTCCTTCAAGAAAGTGTCTTCCAATGCTGCAGACAAGCACCGGCTGTACAGGTCAAGCCAGAGCTTGCCTGCGATCAAGGTCAAGCAGCGTAGTCCCCCCGACTTGCCTGAACGCAAGTGGCGCCCAATGTGTTAGCCGACTCAATCTGTTGGGGAAACATGAACCTTAAAAGGTTTTTCGTTTCCATGTTTCACCGAGCTAGTGTCGCGGCAAGAGCCGGCCATTGTGAAGCAACGGTCAGAAAGTGCTCTGCACACGTCTTAAGACAGTTGAATCTTGCAGGTGCAATCTAGCCCAATTAGCTACCTCTTGACAGATCGCAAGCCAAAAGGCTGTCACGATCGTGCAGTCGATTTTGTGAGCGGGCTTGGCAGATTCTAGCCGGAGCCAAAGCCATGGCTGAGCCCCGGACACTGCCAGCACTTGCACTGGCGGAAGCAATCGGGTCCAAGCGCGATCCGCTCACTCTGCCCAAGGACTTCTGGCCTGCATCACTGCGTCGCACTGGTTTATGCACATGGTGTTTCTGGGATTTTGTCTGCCTTCGTGACGACGACCGCATCGGATATAAATTCATGAAATTTTCACGTAGTGGCCCAGGCACACCACTTGTACAGAGGGTGCGTGCAGCAGGGTTTTTGCTGTCGGTCACGCCCTTGCCCGTATGAGTTAAGCAAAGATAAGAAAAGCAGGCATTACGTCACCTTGTCGTTGACGTGCTGCCGTATCAGCGGAGGTAATGTCAGTACGGGCACTTGTAGCTTGTTAGCGTTCGCATATGTCTGCATCCCCATCTTTGATGGGGAGTATTTCTGTATGTTTCTGTAGGCAATGCAGGCGCTGGCACAGAGGCCCATGTCCAAAAGCTGTCCAAGGCGCAGTTCGGAGTTGGTGCTAGTGTGAGCGTGAGCATGTCATGGTTTTCCACAATTGGCCACTCCTGATGATCCACCGCGTTCCCCCTCACTGCAGCGAAGCCTAGGGCCTTGCCTTTTCATACACCATCTGGGTCCAGGACTCTTTCGCACTGGTGCAACACGGCACGCAGGCCATGAATCATGGAACGGGGATGCAGGAAACCCGAAAAGTTTTGCTGGGCATCGGGCGTCAGAGGAGCCGCAAACAGCTACGTGCGCAACGAATTGAAAAATCGATGAACCCATATGAACCCCACTCCCACTGCAGTGTGCATGATGCCGCAATCGAATTCTTGAGTGCGACCTGTGATCTGGGGTAGCCTGGCAGTTTCGCTCATGTGCAGGAGTGTTACACATCCTTTGTCATGCCGAAGGGAAAGCCCTCGTGTGGGCTGGTTTGGATGCACGGCCTCGGAGATGATGAGTCGGGCTGGGCAGATGCACTGGAGGATAGTTTCGACCTGAAGGGCTTGAAATCAAGCGGGTCCTGCCGGTTTATTCTGCCACGCGCCCCCAGACAACGAGTTACGTGCAACGGCGGTGAAACGATGACGAGCTGGTTTGATTTTCTGAAGTTACCGCTTTCTGCTTCCGATGCTGGGAAATCTGACAATCCGGGCTGCTCACTGGAGGAGGCTGTCGCCTCCTGCGGCCGCGTCCACGCAGCCATAGACACACTCGTCGGTGAAGGCATCCCTGCAGAGCGAATCGTGGTGGGTGGCTTCTCACAGGGTGGGGCCATGGCATCTTGGACTTTGCCTCTTGCAACGCCTCGTCAGCATGCTGTCTCTGAAGTGCGTTTACATGTGCAATATGCTGTGTCAAGCAAGGCATTGCTCTCAACGCTCACTTATCCACAACGCTTGGGCGGTGTCATCGTGCCTCGTCATCCTGATAGCGCCTTGTGTTAGTGTTAGTTGCATAGTCGAGTTGCTTGGAGTCTGGCCCCGCCGTGCAAGAAGCCAACTTGCAACCTCTTCCATTCAACAGCATGCGGCCACTTTCCAGCTTTGGCCTTATGCTTGGACGGACCCGGTGGGCGCCGAGAGAGGTCACATTTTGTTCCTGCAACTGGGGATTGTCACGGGCGCAAGTCTGCCCGCCTCGTTCGAGAGTTCCGCTGTTGATGCATTCGGAGCAAGCCGAAGAAAGACCACCCAGGTCTTCAGCGGCTTGTGCTTCTTCGGGGAGCATGTGGCGAAATTGGTTGATACTCCACAGTGCCGCGAATTGAAGGTCTTCTGGGGGCATGGAAACAGGGACAAGGTCCTCCACCCAAGCCTCCAAGATATGGGCGTGGAAGCGCTGAGACATGCAGGAGTATCGGTGGTGGCTACGAGCCTCAGCCAGCACAGAGTATACCCTGTGCACCCTGCCCGGAATGCCTTGAACTGCTTTTGACTCGAGCTTGCTTGCTGGCCTGTTGCCAGGAAGTACGAGGTCGAGCATGGCAATACGCAGCAAGAGATGGATGACGCAGCGGCATTCTTTGCATCGGTTGTAGGTGCGTAGGCTTTGCAAAGGCATGCTGCAAATCGATGAGGGTGTGGATCAATGATGGATGTATGTGAGGTAGGCAAGCCATCAATGAGGTGGTTGTCGCTGCTTCATGCGCTTGCTCACAAACGGGTTTTTCACTCTTCGTTGCGAACTTCTTACCCACCTGTGCCTGCTCTTTGGGCTCAAGCCCGTCGCGCTTTAGCACTGGCTTAAGGGAGCCTTCAGCGAAGGAGCTGAGCAGCTCTCGCCGCTTTGCGCCGAAAGCATTTTCTGCTCTCAGAGGTGTAGGTGTGTCAAGAGTGTGCGCGCGGTCGTCTGCGTGCTGGTTTTCCTTGAGGTGCGACGCATCGTAATTAATATGTGACTCATGACTCATGAGTCATTTAGACCAAGGATGCAGCCACTGGTCTACTTGGCTGTTCGAGGATGGCTCGGATGGATTCAGTTCGTGGAAAGATCTAAAAGGGCCTTTTTGAACAGCTCTTTGGTTCTAGTTGCCGCTGGAGCTGTTCACTGCTGGGCAGTGGTTTACTCTCTCTTCGTCGCAGTGCACACACGAGCCATGCGTCCAGTACTCAGCATGAGGTCTTGATAGCCTTGGCATTGGAAAGTGCAAGTTGGCATAGGCATAGGCATTGCCAGACTCTTGATGATGGCACGGCAGAGAGAGAGAGAGAGAGAGAGCTTAATCGGACCGCTTCCTCTTTGGCTGCACGCAAGCAAGCTGAATAAAACCAAAAGCGAGCGGGCGGGCCAAGTGCCTGCGGGTCACGACGTGACCCCTAAGCCCGGCAGAAAGACAGAAAGAGAGAGAGAGAGAGAGAGACAGAGAGATAGTGCAGCACAAAGATATCAAGGTCATTCCGGGTATCACCAGGGCAGCGCAGAGCAGCTTCCCCAGTCGGTGGCCTTGACAGAAACTTTGGCTGTCAGCTCTCTCTGGGTTTGGCTTATTGCGGGCTTCACGACCGCGGCCGTTCGCATGCTGGATGAAGATGCCGACGGACTTCCATTAGGACTGCTCAAGTTTCCTGTTTGCCTTTTCAAGGCAATGCTTTTTGCATGACTGTCTGCAGGAATGGAAGACCTGAAATGGGGGCCGCTCTTTGCCTGAAAAAGGCACATCCTCACCAGATTTTCCATGAGTTTACGGCTTCCAAGGATTCTGCGTTTCATCCGCTCGCCCTTCCTACACAGTGCTCTTGGGCATGCCCATTCAGTGAGCTGCGTGGGCTTGTTTGTCAGCATCATCTTCCTGTGCGCAACAATGGCTGCTATGAAAGGCGGCAGCTTTGTTGCAGAGGCGATTATTGCATGCAGCAAGTACTTGGGTACTTGGTAGGACTTCGGCCAAACGCATCACATGCCTCGTTCAGGTATTACAGTCTGCGAGTCCTGCCTGGCTATTGTGGCGATCGGATTCGCGGTGCCGCATATGGTGCTAGCGGGCAGGCGACTGAGCGAGTCAGTTGTCTGGCACTCAGTTTCAGCCCCGCCTCGTCGCAGGCCGTTTGTTCGGCAAATTCTCGCTCACCAAGGATCGTGCTTTATCCGAAATTCTACCAGCAGACAGTTTTGAAGCGGCTGCAGCAGAGGCTGCCGCTGCCGGACCTCAACTGTGCGTGATCCTGTCCCTAGCAGATGCTGCTCGCTTGACAACACGATATGCCTTGTGCGAACACGTGCCCGTGCAAGTCATGTGCACGTAGAGTTTGCTATTTTGCTAATCAGGTCCCAGCTGTTCCTTATGCTCCCCACCCCCCCAAGATGCCCGGTTAAGTAAATGGATGCGAGGGTGTGAACCAGCAAGCTGAGAATAAGATAACAACGAAAGTGAAGTCTGTGCTACAGTGGACGTGGCACGTACAACTATGAGGTATATGTTTCATTAAATAGCATGCTCGAGACCGCTCTGTGCTTGGGCCTACGAGCATCGAAGGAAAACTACACAAGCACACATAACAAGAATTACAAAGGTTGCATGCACTTCATCGATCGTCCTTCGCAGTCCCGCCAAGGAGTTGCGACCTACGTGCTCCTGCATGTCCAGCCCGTCAGGGTGACGACACACTTACCCCGAACTGCTTGGCAATAGCTGGGCCAACTACCCTCCCCGCCCAAGCGCTCCCAAGGCACATCGTTTGTGAAAAGACACAGCTATCGGATGAACTCGTACAGGTTTGTTGGGTCTCAAGATGGCCAGCAGTGCCACGGGAGATTACTGCCGAGCCGACCACACCCAGCACAAAACAGGGTAGGAACCATTCCACCATGACGTGATGTAAACCCAAATGTGGAATGTATACGAGCCCTAGCAACATGTAGGATTTGCCAACTACTTGTTGGAGCTTCGCCTGGCTGTTCACGCCCTTTGTGAGGGGTGGCGTCTGGGCGAAAAATGGCGGAAGCCATTCAGAAGCATCGGCCATGCGCACGTCGGGTGCATTTGCTGCTGACTGTCCAGGCATCTCACCCTGCGGTATACCTCCCTGAATCAGCCTTGGAAGCATGTGAGGTGTCCATTCGCGCCAAGCCAACCTACGTCATTACGCGTTAGAAGCTTTACTGTAGCCAACCTCCCCAACGAACCCTTGTAGGAGGCAGGCTCAGTACAGATTTCTGGTTCTCCATGACACCGATTTCTCTGTGAATGGAAGGATACGGAAGGCATCCACTTCTCGATTGCATTGTTCCGCATCTCGAGGATCCGTAGTGTGGACCATCTGCAGCGGTTCCTTCAAACCGTCAGGCAATGCAGGCCGGTCCGAGTCGTCAGACTTGAGCACGCACAACTGCTCACCTGATTGCGGATCTGGAACGCATCGCTCCCACAGCGCAGACTGCTCAGGCAAGGAATCCTCGGTTAAGCCCTCCTCCAGTGTTTCGGTGCCGGCTGGAAAGCCAGCAGTGCATGCAGTCTCGGTTTGGCCTGTGCTTTAAGTTCCACGACACCTCTAGCTCTACAATTCCTGCCTCTACGGTTTGGGTTTCTTTTTGCGTTGATACAAAACTTTTCGATGGACATCGTGCTCACATGTTTCCATTCCTCGATTTCTTCTGTCAAGGCCGATCATGGCCGATCTCATCAGGTCTAGTTTTGTTCTTTCTTAGGTCATGCCCCGCGCAGTGCATGTTGACACTGCATTCGCTGTTGGTTTGGCTTGTGCTTTAAGGCCCACGACACCTCTAGCTCTACAAATTCCTGCCTCTACGGTTTGGGTTTCTTGCCAACGTCCGTTTTTAAGCATGCTAACCGGAAGTCTTCCCATTCGTTTGCCTACCGTCCATGTTGACAGGTTTGGCTGCTCTTTCACCCTTCCGGGGAGTGGTGGCGTGGCGGTGAGTAGGGTCGAGGAATGTCGAGGACAAAGGATTTTCCTCGTTCTAAGTTGTGAGTTGTCCTCAAACAACGCCTGCCTTTTCCATGTACCCTCTTCTGCAGGGCCACTCGCCAGGTCACCAGACGTAAGCTCAATCCAACAATCCACACCGATGCCCTCTGTAAAGCGGCAGCTTCCAAGGAAGGACTATGTTTGTGGTTCCTGCACGTTGGTGGTCGGCGTGCACAGGGTGAATGGTGGAGTTAGACATCCACAGCCAAGTGTATTCAGCTGTAGTGGTGCAACTGCGGAAAGCACCGTATTCATTGTCAGCCAGAGTTTATCGGTTGGGACCCTCGCCACCGTGGCGGTGCAACCCAGCTTTGTGTTGCAGCTCAGGTGCTGCTCTGCACACTCGGCTAACAGCCACAACAACACTTCATCGAGGTCCCAGTCATACCCAGTCGTCCTCGATAAGCTCCTTTGCAGCTTAAGCCTGCTATAAGGGCTGACAGCACCGGTGGTGGCGGGCCGAATGCAAAAACGTCGTCAAGTCTCTCACCAGGGCCCTGCGTGGAGGGTGCGTGCTCCTCCTAGTCTCCTTCTCAAGTGTTCTCCTACAAGCTGCAAACTGGATTCGGAGAAACAAGGCGGGTTCGAACATGGAGTGTTTGCGCAAAGCCGTTGCCCTCACCTTCGCTGCGCAACACAACGCGACCATCATCCTCCATTCTTGCTTGCAAACTTTCGCTTCACGGAACACTTCCCTCCAAATGGCAAGCGTGGACTTCATGCCCACATGTTGTGCCCGTTTGCAGCGCTGCAGCTGTCAAGATAGCTCGTGGAGTCAGACGGCGGTCTGTGTGGAAACGACGCACGAGAAAGGTTTAGGGACCTTGCTGCTGAAGAGATCTGAAGAGCATTCAGGGTATCATCAGCCTTATATCTGTGTGAAGCGGAGCTGCAAACAAAAGCCTCGCCATTGTAGGCGATGCTTGGAGTTCACACTCGGCTGACTGCCAAGCTCCTCTTCCGCTTCTTCGGCTCGTACAGGGAGCCCCTGCCGGGAGGAGTGTTGCATCATCAAAACCGTCGGTTTTGGTGGTTCGATTCTTCCTTCTGCGAGGAAGTATTTGAACATGGCTGGTCGGTCGCTGCGGTTTTCAGGGTCCTTGTTTGCCCTTCACACGGATGCAGTTTACATCCGCTACATCGTGGTGGCGGCGGCCGTGCCCAGCACCGCGCACGCAAACGGCTCAATCTCGGTGGTACAGCGCGTGGTTGTTTGCAACATGTTGTTCCCAATCCGCTTGGGTGAACTTCATGTAGCTGAGTGAGGCGGTAACATGGCCAACCTTGGAGTGCGCGCACGATGGCTGAACAAGGCCAGGCGCCCACACTGGACACACACGGCTGTCGGCACTACAACAAGCTTGCGGTCTGCCACCCTTGCAAGTCTCTACAAAGGTCGGGCAAGTTTGTACTAAGGGTTTTAGATTTATCGCCTTCTTGCCCCAACGGACCTTCACTGAAATGCACCGATGGGGTGCTGCCCACAGCAGAACGGCTTGGACTTGGATCCATATAATGCTGCTCAACCGATTGCTGTTATGCATGATTATGCCACCATGGACGTTCCATCTGCCTCCCGGCTGTGGAAAGTGCATGAAACCACATCACACGAGCAAACAA